ACTTTAACAACACAAGTTCTTTCTTGCTTAAATAAAACTAGTTTATTCTTTCTCAATTCAATTTTGCAATACACTTAATTTCCACAGCCAATTTTACTTAACTAATTTTATAAAAAACATGTTATAATTCACAGGGAACGATTCACGCACTTACTTACTATCACGCTTGACTCAATTGTCCATCTCTGTCTGTCTGCAATTCTATCTCGATTAGTCTGGCACACTTATATACAAGAATAGAGGGCGTCTAGCAAATACTGGATTATTCGTGATGTTCCCCGATCTTTCTAGAATGCATTACGTGTTACCAGCGTCACGTGACTTCCGCTGTCGTAACACTATTTTGTCCAATTTATCTGGTTTCTTGGTTAAATGATCATTCACACATTTCTAACTCATCTCGCAAGTGAGTTAACAATCTGATGTATTGCTGGAAGGAAATGTCTTCAACAAGTTTCCATTTATCTCCAGACAAAATGAAATTATCCTCTTCCACAAACACAATACATACTGTATTTTCTACAGGAACGATACTTGCATTCTGTCCCATCACAGTTCCAGATATTAGCACCAAAAGAATCCTGGAAAACCTAAAAATATGTCTACTACTAATTTGTATAATGATATATATATACCACCTAACATAATTTTATGTATATTGTATGTACACTATACTTTGCATAAATTATATTGTCTGAGATAATCTATCATGTTATTAAATGCAACTATTACACTATCTTGTACCTTACTTGAGTCATTGTGAACTACTTTTGTATCATGTTTTAATCCATACTACATAACTCGAGAATCAAACTTTACTGTCTTGTTCTAGCTGCAGGGATCATTTCCAGTTGATCCACTATTGGGCCATGTGACCTTAATTGATATCCATGGGTCATGGTATCAGCTAAAGTTGTTGTTGATGTATGTGGCATGTCTTCTGCAAAAGGAGCACTATGCTCACAGGAATTAATTCGAGTTTGCTTAAATTCTCTAATATCTCTGGTAGAATTTTATTGTGTTTCTGTATTTCAGTTTCAATTGTCCATACTGATAAGAATTAGTATCTTTTACTCTTTTCAATCTATTAACATGGACTAACTGCTTACCTTTACCATATATTTCCTGAATTTCAAAGTTTACTGGACTTGTTTGTTTAATTACTCTAAATAAACACTTCCGTAAGTTAGCCAACTTTTTTGTGTTTACCTTTTTTTAACAGTGGTGTGTATAACAACACTTTCTCTCCTAATGATACCTTGTTGGGTGGGTCAATGCCCTTTTGTTTACTTGTTTTTCTGTGTTCTGCAGCTCTAGATAAATGCTCATTAGCTAATTCAAATGTTAGTTGCATCCTGTGTACATCTTACCTTGTAATCATAATCTACCACATAGTTTGTTTTTCTAGGGGTTAGTATTTCATGTATGAGTAGCATTGCTTCTTTGCTATGCAATAGAAAAAACAGGCTTTCTTGCGTAGATTCGTTTTCAGAACTTCTGTATGCTAATAATAACAAAAGAATCTGCTCATCCCATGTTTTCTGATCTTGTTCACAATCTTGTGAGATCATGTCTTGTAATGTTCTGTCTAGCTACAACATGATTTATAAATGCTTTGGCAATCATTTCTGCCTTCTAATCAGGCAAACATATCACTTCTAGATATCTGGTCAAATAATCTACAACAACTAAAACATACTTGTTTCCTGCATAAGATGTAAGCAATGGGCCTAAGATATCCATAGCTACTAACTGACAAATTCTGTTTAAGCTGGGCATTCTCTGTAAGGGAGTATTTCTAAAGTGTGGGCTAGTTTTTCGCTTTTGACATTCAATGCATGAATCACAACAGTCTTTAATATCCTTAGCATATTTGGCCAATAGAACCATTTATCAATCTTACTATATGTCTTTACAAAAGCAAAGTGAGCTGCTAAAGGAGTATCATGATACATTTTCATGACTTTGTTCTTCAACCTATGAGGTACATCTATCTGTAGTATCTTACTGAAGGTTTCAGAAGAGAAAATGCAGAAAAGGATGACAAACAGACAATAACAAGGTAAAATAAATACAAACAGACAATGAAGATGAGCATGTAGTAACTTGGGAATTAGACCATACTATTAAAGATACTGTCATAAGTTCATTACAAAGTAGAGAATTAAGTGGGGAGAATACTGAATATGTACTAGATGCAGACATGTTATGTAGGGAGCAAGACTAAAGGGTCACACTGTCAGGTTTACAGGATTCCGAGTGTTTTTACTACTTAGATGATGTTATAGTATTCACGCATGCTTTGAAGAACACTCAGAGGGACTAAGACATGTGTTTGATGGGCTGCGAGAAACAAACTTAAAGTTGAAACCGAGCAAATGACAGTTCCTCCAAAAGGAAGTAGAACATTTAGGTCACATGGTAATTGTAGATGATGTAAAGTCAGACCCAAAGTTTGTAAAAATTATTCCGTGCCTAAAACTCTAAAAGGTATCCGTGCATTCTTAGAATTTGTAGGATTTTACAGGAGATTAATTCCACACTTTGCAATGTTGGTGAGACCTTTAACTGAGTTAACCACGAAAGACATAACTTTCCAGTGGACAGACAGGAAGCATTCAAGAAACTAAGAGATACATTATTAGAGGCATTAATTCTCAGTTACCCAGAGTTTAGTAAAAAATTCATTTTAAGTACATATGCTTCAGTTTTTGCCATAGGTGCTGTATTGTCACAGTTGGATGTAAATGGGAAGAAACACCCACTCCCATAGCTTACCAGAGTAGACAGTTAGGAAGGCTGAGATGAATTACTCCATGACAGAGCAAGAATGCTTAGCAGTAGAGCATGGAATTAAGGCTTTTTCAATGTTATCTGTATGGTAAGAAGTTTACTATCATCACAGACCATACACCCTAAGGTGGTTAATGACATTAAAAGACCCATCTTTGAGGTTAGCAAGATTGTTCTTACTCTTGCAGGATTATGACTTTGAGTGATACACAGGCTGGGTAGAAAACACTCAAATGTAGATGCTTTAAATAGAATCTAAGGTTAAACATAAGATAGTGTTAACTAACAATAGACTGATAGGCCAAAGACCCTCTAGTTTGCCAGAGGATCACAAGGTAGAGTTTAAAGCATTCGTAAAAGAGATGGTTGAACAAGGAGTAATAGAAGACATTAGTAGTCCATACACATCTCCAGTCATATTAGTTCCAATAAAGGATAGGAAATTAAGGTGGACTATGTGGACTTTTGGAAGGTGGACAATGTAACAGTCAAAGACATCTACCCATTAACTAATATCCAGGAAACTTTAGATAGGTTGAGTAAGAGTAAGTACTTTTTGTCAATGGATTTACAAAGTGGAAATAGAAGAAGACAAAGCCAAAACTGCATTTGGGCTACCTGCAGATAAATACCAGTTTAATAGAATGCCTTTGTGGTTATGTAATGCCCTATCAACATTCCAGAGGTTAATGGACAATGAGCTGATGATACAAAATAATCTGAAATCTTATTATGAGACAGGTCTGACTAGTAACATAACAAGAAGAAATGTGAATGAAGCAAACACACCCAAAGTAACTCTATTAGGTTTAATTGAAGTAGCTACTACAGAAGAGTTATGTAAGAAATAGATTTACAGGCCTCAACCAATGGTAACAGAATTAATGAAAACAGTTAGTTAAATAAGCAGAATAAGCCTGAAGGTGTCAAATGCTTTACCTGCAGTAAAACAGGGCATATAGCAAAGAACTATTTCCAGAAGAGAAATGAGCAGATTGTGTGCTTTGACTGTGGATTAAAAGGCCACATATTAAAAAATAGCAGATGCCCACCAACAGCAGAAAACAGGAAAATCCCCAAAGCTGGGACTTTCAGAGTAAAGTTCCTGAGAAATAACAGGAGCTCTACATTTGCTGTGGCATTAAAATTGCAGCCAGAATTTCAGAGCAAAATTAGAAGTAGTTCTGGCAGTATAGAATAAGAGATTGAGTGTCTGTAGTGTTAATGAAGTGTCACCAGTAGTTTTAGTACAAATAGAGGGCCCAGCATGTTAGTTACTGGTTTGATACAGGCACTCAATCTTCTCTGCTAAGTGCAAAATTAGTGGTTAAAAATCCGATATTATTAAGTAATGTGTGGAAAAGTTTCTAAAAGTCTTTGATCTCTATAACAGGACATCCTGTTAACACGATAGGTAGATATTGTGTTCAGTTACAGGTAGGAGATTTAGAACTGGAACACTCATTTTACATCTTTAAACAAAATGACTTAGAAACAGAGGGTATATACGAGGGTAGGATTTCTTATGGGATTATGACACAGAACTATCCCTTACCAGAGGTATGCTACAGATAGAAATGAAGATCTTAAGTTTGAAGGACTTCTGCCTTCAGACTTATGTGCATCACTTGTACAACAAATGATACCTTCCCACTGACTAACACTAAAAGTCAGATACCAATTGTTAGCACCAGTGAAGTTATGGATCCACAGTCAAAACATCAAAGCACTGATGTGCCTCAGCATAGTGAGACACGAAGAAGACAGTATGGTAATAGGAGTAAATGTCACAAAAGAAGTCCAGTTAAAGGAAGTAGTCAAAAGTGTCCAACACCTAGCCAGAGTACCAGCAGTGTTAGTGGTCATAGCAGTAAGAGAAATAGAGTATCTAAAGAGGGAGATAATAAATCAAACCCCTCAGATGACTCTACACATGTAACAGAGCATCCCAGCAGGAGTGTTTGATAGAAATAGTACCTGTGAGATTAGTTAAAGTAACTGAAATGCCTACAAGAAGTCAGTTCATTGTTGAGTAGATGACTAAGTGTAATGAGGAAGTTTTAATTGAACCTATTGAAATAGAAGAAGCAGAAGTTTATATAGCTGTTTGTCTCAATAAAGAGTCCAAGAGAGACACAGTTCCTGTAAAAGTGATGAATATAAATGAGAAAAAAGTGATACTGCCTGAACATAGAGTGGTGGATAAGGCCGGTAGTAGAGGGAAATTAGCTGCAGTAGGAGAACATAATGTGGAAATTACTAAAAAACAGGCACAACAAAACAAGACTGCTTTAATTCTAATTAGGAAATGTAGAAAATAAATATAAACCAGAGATCAGAGGAGTACCAAGATATATTTGTAGGAGAAAATGATCCTAATGGTTGTACAAGCAAAGCTACATGAGGGCTATCTGCACTAGCCATCCCTAATTTAGCAGTGAAGACTAGAGGGAAGGCAGCTAGCAATTACCACCAACTGTTAACTCTTGGGCTACTCTTTTACTAATGAACAGTGGGATTGACTGTCACAGCTGAAAGGGCAAGCATGTTTGGTGGGATGGGATTTGAACCCACATCCCACAGATTACAAGTCAAGTGCTCTAACCAACTGGCCATGCAGGGCCAATTTGAGAAAGACATAGAAAGTTTTATAGGCACAATAAATGAAGCCTCACAAATTTCGAGCTGGACAGATGCCCATAAAGCTGATACACTAAAATTAAAAATGGCAGGAGAAGCCAAGCATTATAACAGAGCCTACAATGAACTGCGAGAAACTAGATATTTTCATTGTTTTGAATATAGGTTGATAGAAGAGTACAGAAAGTGTGAAATACCCAATACAATACTGACACAAATGTACAGTTTGACTCAGCAGAGTGTTGAGTCACTCCAACTTTCTGGACAGAAATTACAAGAGTTACGGAACTGACTGTGCAGGACTTACATACATCTTGCAAAATTCAAAAAACAAACAAACCCTCTTATAAAAATTAAACTGTTCTAGGTGGAGTCTAGACTATCTCTTTCATGTCAAAGTTAAACTGTGTCCTCTCATCCTATTGTTTTCAAAACCAAGCACAAAGAAATCGGAGACCTTTACCTATCACTTCCCCATATAATCTTGATAACTTCAGTAAGATAATATTTTACTCTTTTTTTTTCTCAAGAGAAAATAAGTTTAAGGATATCTTGCATATCCCTATAAAACAGCTTTTCTACCTCCATGTCAGCCTAGTATCCCCTATGAAGTTTTCCAGTAAGTCAGAATACTTTTGTAGATCAGCAAACCAAAGCTGTTCTTAGTATTCCAGTAATCATTATAGGGTTAACTACCTTCCTTATCTTGTAATTAATAAATCTGTAAATATATTCTAAAATTATGTTATCATTTTTATAAGCAACACTGCACTGCCTTGATGAATTGAATGACTTATTCACACCAGAATACCAAGATCCTTTATTTCAGTCATGCTACTAAGAAATGTTCCATTTATACTAAACATTATTGAAATTATGATAACCAGATTTATTTCTGTACATTTAATATATATCTAAAGGTCATTTTCCAAATATCCGTTGAAGTTATGAATTGACCAAAGCCTTTCTATAGTATTTCAACATCTTTGGTACAGGATGTACATGTAATTGAAATGTAATTTATCTACAATTTGTAATATTTTCTATCAAAATACAGAATAAAAGTATTTAAAAAAATTCCATTATAATCATCAGATAGTTGAAGATTGACATTTTTACTAAATGATTTTGATTTCATCTTTCACTGTGCTATATGAAAAAAAATAGATAAAGGTTCATGTGGTTAATGAAGTTATTTATGGTAATTGATGGTAATGAAATTAAGAAGTATGACTGTTTAAAGGAGAAGATCTTGAATTATGTATGAACACTTGCATTAGGGAATGAGTTGTGTAATGTATGAGTATTTCCATGGTGTAAGGTGATGCTCTTATAAATACTGGTGTGTTGTAATGTGCTAACTGAAGAGCCCTTCCCTAAAGGTTGTGTGAACCAGTGCATTAAGGAACACTTTCTTCACCACATTTTCTTACTTATGTTCTCCAGATTTGACATATTGTGTTCTGACAGTGGAAGCTGCTAGTTGGTGTAGAGGTATGTGGCAGGATTTGTCTTACTTATGTTCTACAGATTTGACATATTGTGTTCTGACAATTGAAGCTGTTAATTGGTGTAGAGATATGTAGCAGGATTTGTCTTACTTATGTTCTACAGATTTGACATATTGTGTTCTGATAGTGGAAGCTGTTAATTGGTGTAGAGGTATGTGGCAGGATTTGTCTTACTTATGTTCTACAGATTTGACATATTGTGTTCTGACAATGGAAGCTGTTAATTGGTATAGAGGTATGTGGCAGGATTTGTCTTACTTATGTTCTACAGATATGACACTTTGTTTGTATAGAAGTATATCTGTTTGTATTAGATACATGTGTGTGTTGCTGCTCTGTTTTTATTAAAACATTTCCATACAACATTTTCTGCCACACTTATGATCAGATTATAAATGTGTAGAAAGCCAAAGAAAACTGTATTGTTTTCAACTGATTTGAATTCTCATTGCACTCATCTTGGGAAGAGATTATTAAATATATATATATATATACACGTGTGAGTGTGTGTCTGTCTAGAGAGAGAGAGATTGTGATAATGAAGGAATATAAAAGTAAAACATATTAACTGATTTAATATAATTGAGTATACAGAATAATTTTGTTATTACTTACTCTTTGCAATACCAACAATTAAACATTCTTCCAATACTGATGGTGCATTCTTCAACTTGCTTAGTCTTATGAATGGGCAGTAGAAGCCATGAAGTTTGTCTCTCACCTGAAAACTGAGAAGATAACGCACCCTAAAGAATTGATGAAGTTAATCAAATCTCTTCAAGATTATGTTGACAACAATCCACCAATTAGAGAAGAAGCATTCAAGGAGATGTTGGACTTGGCTACAAAATTAGAGAATGACAGTCTTTTTGAACAGTGCAAAGTAAGTTCAGTCATTATGGAATCAACATTCCTAAGAATTATATCAGGTTATTGTTAACACTATTGCTGTAATGAACAACATTTATTTTTTGTGATTAGCTACATGTCAACTACCTTTTTAGTTCACACAGTTTTCGAATGCTATTTTTACTTCATGCCACAAACCAGCTGTCAAGTACTTCCTTACTTCTTTCCAGTGAGTCAGTTGTCAAGTTTTGTCTTACTTTTTCAACATGTGAGACAACTGTCAAGTATCTTCTTTTTATCTTAACTTGAGTCACTTGTCAAGTACTTTCTTAACATGCAAGACAGTTGTGAAGTGCCTTTTACTATCTCAACATGAGACAGTTGTCAAGCACTTTCATGCTTCTCACCACTTGAGTCAGTTTCCAAATACTTTTTGTAATTGATAGCATGAGAAATCTGTAAAGTATATTTTACTTAACAATGTGAAGTAAGTTGTCTTGTGCCTTACTTTAACATGTGAGCCAGTTGTCAAGGATTTAGTTCACAATATTAACTCAGTTCTCAGACATCTTATTTTGCTTTACTAGATTAATGTGATACCCCGTATTATGTCAAACATATTCATACTCTATATGGTGAAAAGAAAAGCACCCAAGTCTGTGACATTAATGTTGATGTTATATGGTAGGTATATCACAATATAGGGAACACACTTCAAAGTTTAATACCTTTGTGTTATAGGAACCATGTTTAAAAGCTTAGTATATTTATGTTATTGGGACCATACTTAAATTCTAAGTTTTTTCCAAATCAGCAATAGCAATAGTTCATTGTTGTTTGCAATTGTTAATATTTTTTATAAGTTTGGTGATATTTGTACATAACTTATTTTTGTTTATTTTCTTTCAAATTATGAAGTTAGGAATTGTGTTTTTTTTTTGAGAAAGATTGCACTTGTGTGTTGCCTTTAAGGTTTCAGTAAAAAAAAAGTTTTTAGTTTTATCGTGAGAACTAAATTAAACTTGTCTTAAAATTTTTATTGCTGGTTAAAAGGAACAAACTGTTTTACTTAATTTAGTTTACAAATGATAGTTAACACACAATTTTGGGTAAAAAGTTTTATCATCATCAAGAAATACATATTAGGAACATTCATACCCATTTCCTAATAGATAGTGTATAAAATGGTTAGACATGCAGCATGTGCTTTTCTTTCAGCAAAACCTTTGAGTTTAACTTCTAAATTGATTACCTTTTATTATCATTATGTATAATTCTTTTTTATTAGGAAACATTCAAATTTTTGTTGTTAAAATTTCCTTCTAGTTTATATAGTTTGAATATTTTAGTTGTATTTACTTTACCAAAATGGTGTTAACTGTGGTAAAACTTATAAGGATATTTGTTTTGTTTCCAAGAATTTGGTATTGTTTGAGTCACGCTTTACAGTCCCTAAACCATTAAATTATTCAGATATTTTTTATTTAGTGGATTTTTGCTCACATTAATTAATGAAAAAGAAAGAATTGTGAAGTTTAAACCTCTTAAGTTTTAGCACTCATGTATGCCAGTTTCCCACATTACTGTATCATATTAAGTTAATCTGTTGTTAGTGAAATGCATGTAACTTGTATGTTGCTAAACAAGTACAGTAATATGTCTTCTTGCATGTTTTATAGATTGCCCAAGCTCGATGTCAAGACACGAATGATTTGATCAAAGCAAGACAAGCTACTCTGCTGAGAGCTAAACAGCAGATGGAAGTAGAGTCCTTACAGTGCTCTGATTTACCAACTGGCTCTCGAGATTCTCAGTGTTTCTGGATACCACATAGTACCAGTACCCCTGTAGGAGAACACTCTGGCTACTACCACAGGAAGCCAGTTGCTAACACCTCATCTAGTTACAATTTTCATGTAGGATCATACACTTCTTTTCCTAGCAACTGTCTCTCTGTCCCAGCAACCAAAGACAGTTTTCAGTTGGATCACTACATGGAAGAGAAAGAGGAGCAGCTACATGGTCAAGGCCTCATCACAGATGATCTTACCACCCAAGGTCCAGTTGCATCAATATCACGCAGCAAGCTCGAAGCAAGAGCTGGCAACTCCAATCAGAAAGAAACTCCTCCTGGTGGAGTGATGAAGAGTCACAGTGGAAGCAGCTTAGTTGGGCTAAAAGAAAAAATTGCTGGCCTTGTGGCTGGAGCTGCTTCTGTTCAGAATTCAGCTAAAGAAGGACATTATTATAATCGGCCAATCAGGAAACTCATGCGCCGCAGTCATACTTGGCAGCTTTATGAAGAAAATTCACAGAAACCTAACTCAGATATTCAGATCCCCGACAATAATCTCAGACTTCAGCAGGTAGTCATTAACAGTGAGGAAAGGTGAGAAATTACTGTTAGTGTGAGATTTAAGCATGTACTCTAATAGGATGTTGTATTCATTTGGTAAATGAGTTTCATTACATGTTAGTGTATTATATACAAATAGTTGGTTTTATCTTGTATAAGAATTGTTAGTGAGAGAATTACATTAGTATAAATAATGACAGTTTAAAATATTAAAATTAAATGTTTAATATTTTACCTATAGCTTTTTTTTGTTTCTGATGAATTAATTTTTATTATGAAATTCACATGCTCAGTTATTTGATAGGATGTTTTAAAGAGAACCTAGATAGCCATATATATATATATATATATATATATATATATAT